CCTTTTGTTTGCTATATTTTTCTTTTTCAATTAGATTTTTGCTGAATTGTTAGACATGACAATATCTTAACTTACTACTTTTGAGTGAGCTAGGGCTGTCAATTTTGGTCTTCCAGGTATATTGTTTTGTCCCATTTTTCAGTGAGGTCAGTGCTTAGACCATCAAAGCATCCACTTAGTACGATTTTTATTTTCGTTGAGATAATTGTGAGAGTTATGTGATAAATGAAAATGGATCCCCACCCATCTTCCATCTCTATCTGTCAGCATCCAAGGAGCTGTATGTATGATATAACAGTGAGATGAGACAAATTAGCAATCTCACTCGATCACATACTAACCGAAATTAATTAATAAGGTCAATTCATCGAGTCCAGATTTCCTTTCTTTAATTGATATAAAAGTTTACCAATAACATTTTACAGCATGCATGGCTCTCCAATTTCCTTTTGTCAAATATGGAGGGAGCTGGGGACTTGAGGAAAATAAATATTTCAATTTATGACAGTTGTATATTCTTGAAATTGTTTTACTCTCTCTCCTTGTGTTTATGAAAATCAAGAAAAATACTGCTTTTACTAAAATTAAACCTAAAAATGTTAAAACATACAACTAAGTGTAGATAGATTATTGAATGGGAGTAGTTGATCAATTCAAAATAGGTTAAGAAAAATAAGTTTACTTATGAAATTGAGACATTAGCTCTAAATCTAATGGCAAAACTTATTGCATTACTGGTATGAAAGTAGATAATTAAATGATGCAGTTTTTGTTTACGTAACTGTGTTAGAGAGAAAACGACAGTATAGTTAAGTGGGGGGGGTACTAATTGGGTGCGATCTTATTAGAATTATCCTTTACCCCAAAGAAAATTACACATACAACTTGCAAATAGTGGGTAAAGGGTGCTATACTTTAAGGACCACGAAAAAGTTTGGCTACTGTAGAAGCAAGTATAAAGTTAAGATGCCTCTCTTTTTCTTCCTTTCATGTACGTCTCTCTATGTTGCTACAACTTTCCACAGCTAAGAACTAGAATAGTCTGTATACATCGGAATTGATTAACAAATCGACAGATATAGAATTGACTGTCTAATGAAAGATCTATTTTATCTTAGATTAAAATGGAATTTAATTAATTTTAAGATATTAAACTACTAACTTAATCTTTTTGTTTAAATCAGGATAAAGAAAAGTAAAATTGAAATTTTGTACAATTATTAATTCAATTACATATCACAAAATATATTATAAATCATTAATCCCTTATTTCAGACAATTTAGTTTCTTTTATCTTAAATAAAATAAAATAAAAAGCAACCCATGTCCATTTTTACGTGAAGATTAATTGAAAATTAAGATAAGATTTAGTATGTGAAAGAATTAATTATTTTTTGGTAATAAAAAACTAGTATTAAGATTAAAAACAAATGTTAATGAACTTCGAAACAATTTTTTCTTAACAAAAAATGCTAGATTCTTAATATTTGCATTGGGCTATCTCTCCATTATGTTTTAGCATTATGCCTAACTAGTTTGATTCAAAATGAATAAGCAAATAACAGAGCATTTAAATAAAGAAAAAAACATTTTGTCAAAACTAATTAAATACTAAAAATTTTGTCACTAGGCTTAAACCATCCAGCTTTGTTTTTTTGGTCAATATCATCCAATTATAAAGTTCATAGAACAGGTCCCACTGTATATGGCCTTTATAGGTTAAGATCCTTTTAAGGCCCATCTTCGTCCCTGTTTATGGGCCACAAACTGCATGCTTTCAGCCGATATCACATGAGCGTAAACAAACTCTTACTTGTGTACCAAAACAAAAAACCAAACACTTACGTTGAGCCTTGATGTTAGAACCAAAATCCGAAGCCCAGCATGCTCATCAATCAACAAAAAATGCAAGCATTATACCAAACTCTTTAATATGTTTCTTTTGACAAATTATCTAGTATCTATTATGGAATGAAATTTAAAACTTTTTATAACCAATCAAATTTGCCTTAAAATAACTGATCTTGATGGTCTTGAATTACTCGGTCGCGTAGTGAAGATATAGATATACATGTATAACAATAATTTATGCAATGGATCGATTTTATTGTTTTTTATAATTTTATTTGTCATTCTAATATTTTTTTAATTAAAATTATTCTTTTTGTTTCTTAATTTTATGATTTTTTTTTGTCTTTTAATTTATTTTTTATTTTAATCCTCTAATTTTTTAAAAAAATTTAAATAAATCTTTTTCTGTTAAAGACTCTAACTTTGTTAAAAAAATTTGTGTTTTTTGCCACGTACCATGTGTTATTGTTCATAGTTTTCTTACTCAATTTTTCAATTTAATTTCTGACAACTTTTTTTCTTCCATCTCCCTTTCATTTTTATTTTTTTATACTCAAAACTTCATCTTTTTGCCACCAGCACCAAGTATCCATCTCCAAATTTCAAATCATAAACATGAAGTATCCTATGATTTGCAGCAAGAGTAGGAGAGCTATCATATTTCATCACTCTGTACTTGTTTTTTAGGCCATTAACGCTAGAAAACACGAAACCATTTCGGGGTTGCAGTATTTTAGAAAATAACTCTTAAAAGATGCTTATATGAATTACTAAAATATATCAACAGCTACTATTCAAGATGAGTATGAAATGTGCTTATTTTACATGGAACATTTCAATGAGTGATGCATTGATATTATTGATGGCAAGAAGTTGATTTTAGAGGGAATCTGAGAGCCAATGTAAAAGTGCAAAAGTTTATTTTAAATTCATCATATTGGAAGTTGGTGTTTAGTATTGTTTATGGCAAGAAAATAAAGTTTTGAAAATAAAAATATGAAAAAGAGAAATAAGAGGAAGAGTTGTCAAAATGATAAAAAAATAAAATAAATAGTGTCTACACGTGTCACAAAATAACAAATTTTTTTAACAGAGTTAGAATTTTTAACAAAAAAAAAATTATTTGAAACTTTTATAAAAGTTAGAGGACTAAAATGAAAAAAAAAAAAAAGAAGAGTTAAAGAACAAAAATAAATTTTACCTTAAAATTAAATGTTAAAAAGAGTAATTTTTCCTATTTTATTTATTAAACATGTTTTAAACTTCTTCTAACTTGAACTTCAACTTAGTTAGAATTTTAAATTTTTTATATCAACTTCTAACTTTTATTTTTATTGTCATTGTTATTACTTGTGGTGCATAATTTGTTTAGCTTTTTTTATATTATTGTATTTGATATAATATATTGTTATTTTTATTTTGTTATATCATTTGGCATTCATATGTGTATGCATTTGTGTTTAGGATTTTTTTATCTCAATGAGTTAAAATTTAAAATAATTTATTAAAATACATTAAAAAAATCATGTTTTAAATACAAAATGCGTTATTCATTTAGAGATGACACATTATTTCTAAAAATTATAATAAATTGTGATTATTAGATACTTCCAATTTTGATGAAGCATTGAATATTTAATTCTAAGTATATTAAAACATATAATATTATCTCATTTTACATATCATTATAAAATTTATCGTAATAAGTTGATGTGCACAGAATTGAACATGGATTAATAGATTGACATACCCAACGACAATTAAGATAGGTTTGTTGAAATAGTAATATATATATATATATTAATGAAGTGAATTTATGAAAAAAAAATTACAATTAAAAAATAATGCAATAATCTAAAATAAATAAGAGCACTCTATGTTTATAAAACTTATAAGATTAAAGAAAAAAAATTTATCGGCAGATATGAAAAACAAAGTAATATAAAACATCATATTTATGCCGTTTGATTTGATTCGAATAAAATGAATCAAAACAAAATTACAATAAAAATATAATTTTGTGATTTAAAAATAATTTAATTTAATTTTAAATATTTTAAAATTATGTAATTATATTAAAAAATAAATTAAACCACTTAAGTTAATAATTATAGAAATTAAAAGATATTAAAAAAATGTAAAAATAGAAAATATACTTATGGCTAAATATATATTATTATTTTATTTGCTATAGTGATACCACATTAATAGGTTTATTTTTTATAATATTTTAATTTATCGTTTATCTCTCACATTTATGATTGATATTATTATTATTTTTGTTGGATAAAGTTATAACTGATAACACTTAAATATATAATTAATATTTTTATTTGTAAAAATCATTCATAATTCAATTTTTTAGTATATATTTTCTTTCTCTTATTTATTATTCAAATTTATACAACTTTCATTTTAGTATTATTTTAATATAAAAAATTTATACTATCAATCAATTAAAATACACTGCAGATATAATATTGATAGTATTTATTATAAAAATTAATATTTTTCGTTGACAATTAAATGACAATGCAATAAATATTTAAATTAAATACATTTAATATAATATCATTTTTATTACATAGTAATTAATGATATCTTAAAACTTTTAAATGATATATGAATAAAAATAAAAGCTTCTTCAAATGTAATAATAAATAAACAGAATCGACAAGAAATATGAATCAATCGAGTCAACTCTTAAACAAGAACCCGAAGTTTCCCAACATTTTAAAAAATGAAGCGAAGTTGGGGAAAATAAAAATAAGGCGCTAAGAGTAGGTTTTGGGCAATCACTTTTGGCTCCTTCGAATCTCCGCTTCAAAGTTTCAGAGTTCCCACTTCTTTCACCTTTTCAATCTACCTTCAAAATTTTCTGACATTTCCTATGTTTTTCCCTTTCCCTCCGTAGCAATAAAACAAGAACCAAATTATGAACAGCAAAAACACAACACCCTCCATCCTTCAAAATCCAAATTTCCAATTATTTTTGACCCCTCCTTCTCTTTCCTTCTCCCTCCTCTGTCCCAATTTCAAGCACCCTCCAGCAATGTTTAAATACCTCACTTCACCTCCCCTTTCATCCACCACCTCGCTTCTCTTTCTCTCTTCCGACAACCTCGTCCTGTTTACTAATCCAATCCCCGATGGACCCCACTCCCATCCATCATGAGAGTAACAAAGAGAACATCCCTCCAATTTGCATCAAAGAGGAAAGCAACAACACCAGCAAGAAGAAGAACCCAATTCCTCCCATGGCTTCTTCTTTCAAGAAGAGCCGTAAAAGAAAGACTAAGAGGATCCCTCTTGCTGATATCACCCATCTCTTCAACAATTCTTCCCCTTTAACAACACCCCACCAAGAAACTGGGGTTTCTTCTCTGCCTTCTTCATCGGTTCTACTTCGCTCTAATTCTCGAAGGAAGACATTGACGGTGCTTCCTGCTGCTTCTAAATCTTTGAGGATGGGATTCAGATAATTTCACAGGTTTATGTTTTTTTTAATTCTTCATATCAAAATAGTTAGAGTGAACTACAATGTTGAGAAAGCGGCATATTGAAATTCAATGTCTTGTGATCAGCAATTTCGTCAATCTTGGTTGATTATTAGGAAGACAAAATATAATACAATGCTCTAGGTGGCTTTCAGGCCTGCACAAAATTGGTGTACAATGACGGATCGTATATTTGTAATTAAGTGATATAATGTTTGATTTTAAATTTTTTTTTTATGAAAACGGGTTCAGTTTATCAAAATTAAAAAGAGATGATGATGGCAAAATTGTCTGTATTTGCAGATATCTTGTGCAAAAGTCTTTTATAGATAAAAAAAAAAAAAACATATATTCTTATGAATATACCTGTGAATATTCACAAGTTTAATTAAATTTATTTATTTATTATTGAAATAAGTACAAATATTAAGATATTTGTATTTGTAGGTATTTATATATATAATTATTAAAATACCTTTAAGTATATTCAAACAGAATTTTAACTTTATTAGTTTATAATAGTTTTGATGTGTTTAACTTAATATTATTTTACTGTTATTGTAACAAAATATAAGATTATTTGATGATTGAAGTAATTTTTTTTAAATTATAACTTTGTATGTAAATTATTATTTTCAACTTTCTAAAATAAATATTCATGAATATTTGCAAATAATCATAAATTTATTTAAAATTGGATAGATATTCGCACAAGCATTAGATAAGTACAAAAAGCATTTTTGTTGGCGAGTAACATAAACCTAAAACCTACTATACATTGGTGTTGGATCGTGTTATATATACACACATTTGGAAGCGAGGGAACTAATTTCGAAATCGAATTTTCTTCAGTTTTAGGGTGAAAATAATGATTTAGTTTAAATTTTTTAAGAAAAAAATTATTTGCTTAAATGAATCTTACGAATCTTTCAAAATAACAAAAAAATTTCATAAAATTCACTTAATAAAGCCTGCGAGAATAAAGTGTAAAAGTTCTGATTATGACGAGAAATAAGAAGTTGGAAAACAATAATCCATTTTAAAATTGAAAATCGGTTCTTTAATTACCCTTGTGAAAATCTAACTCCAATTCCAACAATTGACCACTAACATCCCAGAAAGATTAATTTTTTTTTATGGAATTGTCCAATTTTTACCAAAAAATTATCTTAAGAGTTAGTCTTGCATTATTTTAGCAATTACAGAAAAATAAAAGGACAAGTGTCCCACCTCTTTTTCTCTCAGCCTTCTTCCAAAGTACACATTGATATTGGTAGGATGTTTCCTTAACATTGAATAGAGTAAGAAGAGCACCACACAGACAGACAGTAATATTAATTCCAGATGTTAAAAAAACAACAGTGTTAAAATAGCAAATTTACTTTTGCAAAGTTGTCTTGATCTTTTGTAAGATTTGTTTAAGCAAATATATTTTTGCTCAAAAAATAAATTAAAAATGTAAATAATTTGTAGTCCCACAAAAGATATAAGAAACTTTTACCTTCAATTTCTATATTTGGTGAAAGGATAGAAAAGAGGAAAAGCTAAGTTAAAGGATTATTTGGCATGCGGTGATATATGGTCCTTATGTCATTTAAGGAATGGAACAATTTTCAAGAATCGTCATGGACACCATATTAATGTAGTGATAGATTTACCTAAAGTAAGGTTTTATTATTTTCAGGTTGAACTAAGATTTTGAATGTAGGGTCAAATTAAGAAATAACAAACAGTAATTGAATTTAAGCTTAGGTAACCTATTTATTTCAAATATATGACAATTTAAATTTGAGATATATCTTACTTATATATTTTTTATTTGTTGCTCAACTCATGAATATAAGATTTTATGATTTTAACATGTATGTATTGACAGTAAGAAGTATATTATACAAAATTGTAATTAAAAAAAGAGTCTTTCTAATCAGTATACTTAGGACACTAATTAAAGGAATTAAAGTAACTTTTTATATATTAAAAATTACAATAAACTAGGAGGTGTATCAATAATATTTTCAAATAATTTTTTTATTTCTAAGTCTCTAATTATTAAGCATTAATTTGCCACAAAGAAAAGGAAAATCCATCAATTCTGACCCCTTAATCCAAGTACACCATCTATGTTTGAAAACAATGAATTAATGCTATCTACTAGAGATAAAAAAAACTATCCTAATAATGGATTATATATATGAAACGGAAGCAGGCTCAAGTGCAAGCAAAAAGACACAGAAATGGGCATTCAAATATTTTAAAATGACCATGCTGCTGATCTATTCATGAACCAAATGATAAAATGACGTCAACAAATCACTTGGGATGCAAAACGTGGACACTTGGAATTTTCCACTGTAAATTATCATCTGAATCCCTGGCTTGAACGGATGCGTTGACTTTCTCAAATATCAGCTATATAAGCTATAAGTGCGACAGATAAAGATTCAAATTGATAGGTGGCTATCACTTTAATTTGCACAAGGAGAACGAACATGATTAACATCAGATTGCATTTAACCTTAATGCTTATGGCACTGAAGAATAATTTGCTCGGAATCAAAGTTGGCATTAATGAAAAGTGCTAACATAAAAGCGCAGAGGACAACTCACTTCAAAATAAAAACTCTGAAAAAAACCAATCGCCATGAATTGCTTCAGAAAACAGTGTCAACATAGGATATATATATAGCCGAACCGCTTGCAGTGTCAATTATAGGTTAACAACATATTTATTTTCCAAATGTGTGTGTATAAATATATATGCACCAAGAATAAAGAGAGCAACCTTTATGAGTCAGCTAAAATCGGTGCGCTGATATTCATTATCCGATATCAAATGTTTGCATGAACAAGTGGGAATTAATTATTTAGTTAGTTATAACTTTATATTACGATAATGGTTGCAACATAACGTAGCTATATAGATGTGTATGTGTTAGTGTAATGATGTAAACTTGTAGTTTGTGTCATATTTCTTCACCATCGTTTTTCCTTCTTATAAACTACTTCCTTATGATGATGCTAACATAGGTATGTTCATAATGCAATTATAATTTCCACTATCATAGCGAAGCTCAGCAAAGTCGCTATTTCGTCAATGATCATATATTATCCATGCATTAAGCTAAGTTTGACATCGCTCCCGAATTTTATTTATTAATTGTAATTCAGATTTCACAATGATGTGACCTCCATAAACAAGTCATCATCTACAGTAATGCGTCTAACATTCAAAACAATTCTTTTTTCGAAATCCGTGTTCTACTTTTCATTAAGTAAATAAGCATAGTCGTTAAATTTTAATTTGAAGTCTAAGTACTTTTTTAACAGTGAATTAAAGCCTGAAAGCCTTCAAATCAAAAGCTGACTGTCCATTCATCCATTGTAAATTAAAATTAAATTAATTATAGAAATATATATTTTGAATTTAATTTGTTTTGATTATGTCAAATATATCTGTCCAAATTTGGTATGAAAATTTATAAACACTGATTAATAAATTTGAATTTGTTTTGTTGGTTTGGACAACAGTGTGCTAGAGGCGCATATTTGATCCATCTTTTCAATTTTTTTAATCAGCAAAAGGAAAAAATATCAGCCACACAAAACAGATAATGCATTACTTATGGTATAACAAAAGGTTGTTGATTTGCTGCGTAATAGACATACCTTGTACAAATAAAATCTTATGAGTTCACCTAATTAATGTATCAACAATATATGTATATATATATATATATATATATTTATTTATTTATTTATTTATTTACTATTAAACAATTTTTTGTTATAAAAAATAATATATATTTATAGTGTATCATTTTATTAATATAGATTTGTGTATTAATTTATGTTAGAAAAAAGCATTATATAGGAGTAGTTAGGTTAACAATTAATTAACTTATTTTCTTTGTTAAGACATAACATTTGTGGTGGTGGAATCGTCCCGGTTTCATTAATTATCTCCCCTTTTACCTTGCCAAGCTTGATTACTTTGAGCTCAATGGATATCGATTTATTTAACAATGAATATGGAATTGATGCATTGAAAAGTTCCATCCCACTACATATATTCTTTTCCGCGTCGCCACATTTTTTTCCGATAAGCTTTACATTGTGCTGTTTTCCCCTGTCATATCAGAAGACGCCATTCTAAGCAATAATAATACAAAACAAAACAACGAACTCCATTGTGGCCAAATATTGTTGCATTTCTTAATTAGGATAAGTGCTGATCACTGATCTCAGTACTAGTACCTGGCTTATATTATATTAATGCATATAATTTCGGTATGAATGCAGGCTACTTGGTAAATTATATAAAGTTTCTTCACTTTATTCTAAATGTTTTTTTATCACCAGCCTATCTGTTTTAACCCTCAATTAAAACAACTATATGCCCCATCATCCTATTAATTTTTTGTTGAGCGAAAATTAAAGAAAAAAAATGGTATAAAAATTTAAATTTAAGTTAAATGAAATACTCAAAATGAAGATAAAATTTTTTAGACTTACACTGATATAAAAAAATCATTCTTTTTTTTATATATATATAAAATACCATGATAATTGTAACTGTAAATACGACACAAGTCATCTAAGAGATTAATGACATACATATAAATAAACATTGAATATAAATCTTTAAAAATTAAAATAAATAAATAGAGAAACTATCAAATATTTTTAAGATAATGGATAAGAAAATATTATAATATTTTTATTAGAAATTATGTTAAAATGTATTAAAATTATGAATTTAAACATCTAAAAAATTAATTTATTATTACTATTTTAAAAAATAATAATAATTTATTATATTGGAGATAAAAATATAATCAATACTTTATTTTTAATAAAAATTTATTACTTTTAGATATTTAATATTAATCATAAAAATTATAATAAAATGCATTAATAATATCTTTTTTTATAATAATCTATTTTTTATTTTTTTAATCAATGTCTGTGTGTGTGCGCTTTTTTTT